ATTAATAAATTATTAAATAAATCACATATAATGAAAATAATAATCAATCAAATTCATAATTGTAAAAACTATTAACCTTATTGTGATTTTTTAAATTAAATACAATGTTCCTTTTTACATTGGTCTGGTTTTGATATCCTCGTAACTTTGCTGGACTGTAACTCCGGTGGATAATGAGGGATTAYTGCATAGTTCTATACCAGTGGTCTCAAACATACATTACGGCCCTTCCTACATGGTAATAGTAATTATAATAACAGTAATTTCATAATATATTAAGTTAAATTTAGATAAATGGATTTTGTATATATCTTTGCCTTCATTTTGTCTTTAGTTTTTAGTGTATAAGTATAAAATGACACTTAAAATTTGGCCCGTGAATTTTTTTGAAAAAATATATGGCCCGTAGGTAATTTGAGTTTGAGATAACTGCTCTATACTCTATTCAAAATAAGAAACACAGTTGGTGACGACCGGTTTTTATTTCCGATGGTCARGTAAGCCCATTGTCCATGGTCTCTACATGTAATGAAATCGYGGCCATACGCAGAAGTCGACTGCCAACTGTGTTARGTTACACAGTATAGAGTACAGTAATTTAATAATCATTTATATTATAAATTCAGTGATATTTTTTAATTGACAAGTAGAGAACAGACTTTAATGTCATAAAAAATAAGAAAAAATGTTCTAAAATAATATAGCTTAATGTCTTAAAAAATGCTCTAATATCAAATTATACCCTAAAAAACTTGAAAAATGTTTTTAAATCCAATAAAAACACAATTTTTTACACAAAACTTATAGAAAACACATGAAGTTACTCAACAGTGCAATACAAAATTACAATTTAGATAAATAGCTTATCTTTACTTAATTGTATGCAATATATTGTAACTTGAATGTGTCTGCACGTGTCAACAATAATTTTGTCTGGAGTCAGGATTTATCTGATCTGTAAAAACATAGTAAATATTTATTTTTATGTTTTTAGAATGAATGTTAATCTACATTTTTATTGAATTTTGTCCATTCCTATATAAAAATGACTTAAAAACATAAAAATGTCAAGAAATGCAAAATAAAAGTTAAGTTTTTTAATTCTTTGATGTATAGAATGTACTTTGTGCTTGGAAAGCAATGTTTTTAGACATTAAAAWAAAAAATRCAATTTGTATTAAAATCTATTTCCTATTGATAAGTAACATATGTGAACAACTAATAAGGAACTTTATATTAAATTCTCAAGATTTTGCCCTTGCAAAATTTTTTTATCAACATAAACAACAAATGACTATAAATAGTCATAGCGTTTTGAAAATGATGATATAATAATTGTTTACTTTTTTTAGAACATCTGGAGATTCTCTTTATGTTACGCTGAGCTTAGCAAAAACAGCAGAAACGGAAGAAATTAAGAAAACTTATCGAAAACTTGCATTAAAATTCCATCCAGATAAGAATACTGGTAATCCTGAAGCTGAAGAAAAGGTTTGCTATTTATGTTTTGAATTTATGTATTAACACCCAAGTTTTACTCTCATGATTTATATTATTATATTAATTTATATTTTTAGTTTAAAGAAATCAATAAGGCATATAGAATATTGACAGATCCGAGTA